GAGCGAGCCTTCGAAGTACCGCTGCTTAACGTGAGTCACTGCACGACCGCCAAGAATGAGGTGACCCTCGAGTTCCACCACAACGACGACGCGCCCAACAGTCTCATGGAAATGCGTTTCCATATCCCGACCATCGATGGCGTGGATCCGGCGCCGAATTTCATGGAGCAGGTGCTCGACAAGGCGTCCATCATTCAGGCCACCGGTGACGCGATCGCCACCTTCAAGGAGCTCCAGTGTCTGACACCGAGAGGTCGGTACGAGATTAAGATCTTCCCGACGTTCATCCAATTGCACGGAAAAACCTTCGACTACAAGATTCCCATCACTTCGGTGTTACGTCTCTTCCAATTGCCGCACAAAGACAGTCGACAAATGTTTTTTGTCATGTCTTTGGATCCGCCCATAAAACAGGGACAGACGAGGTATCACTTCCTGATACTGCTGTTCAATAAGGACGAGGAACTGTCGCTCGAATTGGGTATCACTGAACGCGAGATTAAAGACAAATATGAGGGCAAACTGCAGACCACAATGTCGGGGCCCGTGTACGAGGTGTTGGCCAAACTCATGCGAGTGTTAGTGCAGCGCAAGATCACAATACCTGATCCGGCGTTCTGTTCGCCGAAAGACATTCCGGTGATCACGTGCTCGTACAGAGCCAGCGCCGGCCTCCTGTACCCGTTGGACAGGGGCTTCATGTATGTCCACAAACCGCCGATTCATATCCGCTTCGAGGAGATCCTGTCGATCAACTTCGCCCGAAGCGGTGGTTCCACGCGTTCGTTCGACTTCGAGGTCGAAACCAAATCGAGTTTTGTTCACACATTCAGTTCCATCGAGAAGGAGGAGTACTCCAAACTCTTCGACTTCGTGTCCAAAAAGAATCTGCGGGTGAAGAACAGGGGGACGGAGGGCGAGAAGTCGCGTAAGACTCGAGTGGACGACGATTTGGTGGACTCTGACGTTGAGGCCGAACCCGACGCTTACCTCCAGAGAGTCCGCGAAGAGGGAAGGATTCGCACGGAAGCCGGCGATGACTCCGACGAGTCGGACGTGTCCTTCAATCCGGACGCCGAGAGCGACGACGTGGCCGAGGAGTTCGACTCTAACGCGAGCGCCAGTGACTCGGATGAGTCGGGCGATGAGGAGGGCGGCGGACACAAGAAGAAGGAAAAGCCGGTGAAAGAGAAGCCGAAGAAGAAGAAAAAGGAAAAGAAGGAGAAGTCGGGAAAGAAGCAGAAGAAGGAGAAGGACGAGAACCGGCCGAAGAGGCCAATGACGGCCTACTTCTTGTGGTTGAATGAGAACCGCGAGAAGCTTAAGGAGAAGCACCCGGGCATTAGTGTCACCGATCTGTCCAAAAGGGCGGGTGAGCTCTGGAAGGATAAGGTGAAGGACAAGTCGAAGTGGGAACAGATGGCAGTCGAGGCTAAGAAGGTGTACGAGAAGCAGATGGAGGACTACAACGCCGGCAACTTTACGCCTAAATCGCCCAAAAAGAAGTCGAAACCGGAGTCGAAGGGCTCGAAGGAGTCGCCGACGAAGAGTTCGAGTCAGAAGTTCAAGAGTAAGGAGTATATCAGCGATTCGGACAGCAGTTCCAACAGTGGTTCCGATTCGGACAAGAAGTCCAAGAAATCGAAGGCTAAAAAGCCCGACAAAAAGGATAAGAAAGATAAGAAAGCGGACAAAAAGAAGTCGAAGAAAGAGGACTCGGATGTGGAGATGGCGTCCGAGGAGGAGGAGAGCGCGGCGTCCACTCCTGCCTCAGACGATGACTCGGATTAAGGCGTTGACTCGAGAGGAAGTAAGTGGTAATCATTGTCTGCATTATTACTCTTTATTTGAATAATTATTTAAACTTTTACTATAACTACAAAACACTCTAACATTTATAAAATACACGTAAAATAAGTTTCTGTTATAATTTGTTCATAAAAATCTCGCCATTCTTTGGCACAAGAGTTGCATTCATTTGTTGTGATAATAATAATTAAAAATCGAGTTTTGATTGAATAAAAATAAATTCACAATAAAATCATTGGAGAAATGAGACGCGAATTCATGATTGCAATGAGTGGTCGCCGTTAAAGCCATCGTATGTGTCGTGTGTTTGACTGCCATTAAGTGGTGAATGAATAGCAAAATAATTGTTTTTTTGTTGCAATAAATTATTAAAAACTCTGTAAACATTAGGTAAAAACATCTGATAATTAGTGTATTGTCTGCGCGCGGATGCGATGATTAGTCCGTAGATGTGTTGATGTCCTATAATTCCTCAAAGAAAGCTACCCGTGCTTTGGTAGTGCCGGAACGGGTGCGCCGGAGCGTCGAGTATTTAGTCTCGCCTTTCGACACGTTCTCGTCGTAGATGCGGTCGAATGGCGTCAGTTTGTCCTCCACTTTCAGCACCTGTATCTCGGACTTAAGGTCCCGGAGCTGCTCCTGCAGGTGCCGCGACTTCTCCAAGTACTCGACCCTCTCCTTCTCGATCTCGAGCGCCAACTTCTCGACGTCCGTATCGCTGAGCAGATCGCACGCCGTGGCGCTCAACAGACTCGGGTAGCCGTGGGTTCTGGTGGTGGACGGCATGGACGTGGATGTGGTCACCGTTATGGAGCTGGTGTTGTTGTAGGGCGAGTGATAGGGCGACCCGTTGGACATGTTTGGCGAGTGATAGCCCATGTGGTCGCCGGAGCCGTCGTTGAGCCGCAACTCATTCAAGTCGCGCAACACATTCATGGCGTTTGCGGCCAAACCGTCGAAGTAGTTCACGTCCTCGTGGTTGCCGTCCATCGCATTCATGCCGTTAATGACTGCACTCTCGCCGTAATGGCTGCCAATCATAATATTCGTGCCGTTCATCTGTTTGGCACTCTTTGGCGACGCGGGACCTCTCAGCACATCCAACAGCTTCTCTTTGGCGTGTCGTTCGCTAACCTTCGCTCTGAACAACTCATTCCTCAGCTGTTCGGCCTCTTTAGCCCTGCGCTCACTCTCCTCGACCATAGTCGAGGCCAACAGTTCGGCCTCCGCTGCCTTCCTCTCCATCAACACCTTCTCCTCCTCTGTCTTAATGGCACTGATTTTGATCCTTTGGATCTCCGCCTCGGCTTCGGCCGCCTTCTGCGACAACAGCATCGCCTCCTCTTCGGCCACCCGTGCCTTCTCAGCCAACAGCTCAGCGGTCTCTTCGCTGCGTCGGAGCGCCTCCTGAGCTCCATGTGCTTCGTCCTGATACTGAAGCAGCCGCTGCTCGAGCTCTGCCCTCTCGCGCTCGGCCTCTTCGCGCAGCCGTTTCTCATGGGACAGCTTCTGGCGCTCCTTAAGCCGTCTGGCCTTCTCATCCCTGGCCTGAGCCTTCATTTGCTGCAATTCCATGGAATCGGGTTTACGTCTCCTCATGAAGAGGTCGTGGTTACCGATACAGAGATCGAGAATCAGTTTATTCATCCGTGTTTTGGACGAGTAGAAGGCGAAGTGTGGAGAGTGGGCCCTATCGACCGGTTTGATCGTAAACTTCTTGTCGTCGTAACTGATGTTCCGGATCTCACTCCACGGGAACGATATCTTTGGCGTCAGTTTGTTGTTCTTCTCGTAGATGTTGAGCCCCAAAGAGGTGACGCCTAACCACAGCTCACTGTCCTTCTTGTTGCTGATGGGGAAGTAGTTGACGCCATACATGTCGAGGTCCTGCGCGATCTTCAGGTACTCCATCTCGGCCTCGTCGCGGGTCATACCCCTGTGGTCGGCGTACCATATCTTGATCCTCTCCTCCCACATCTCGGGCGTCATCTGGTACTGATCGATGACCCTCTGCGGCAACAGGTCCTCCGCGTCGGCCAACATACCCGGCTTATAGTTGGCCTCATCGTAGTCGCCATACTTGGCCTGAACGGCATACGAGGCCAACAGTACACTCGCCTCCGGAGGGCAGAAGATATCCATATTAAGTATCGCTTGTTTCACCTGCAAGTAGAACAGGTGTTGAGTGATCTCTTGGATCAGCTCTTCGGCCACGTCTTCCGGGAAGAATTTCGCCAAAAACAGGAACGACATCAACGGATCCGCGTTCTTCGACTTCTTCGACGACGACGAGGCCGTCGAGTGGCTGTCGTCCAGCGCGCGATGGCATTGGATGTCCTGATCGACGATCTTCTTGTCGGGCTTCAGCCACGCGATGAACCCCTTGCTGTCGATGTACTGGAGCCCGAAGTAGGCCACCTCTCGCAGCCCTATCGTACGGCACACCAGATCCAAGAGGTCCCTCCCGAAGGCCGTCCTCTCGATGTCGAACTCGAGCTGAGCGTCCATTGAGGAGATGATCACAGAAATGCATTTCCGGGACAACTGTTTCGTCTGTTTGGACAACGTTTTCATCGACTTCAGCATCGCTTCCCATCAGTTGATCCCAAGGTACTCCACTCGCGAAGACATTATCCCTAATGAATGGTATATCGCACTCAATGTGACAAACAGTTTGGCGTTTGTTTTGAAAACAAAAACTTTTTTTCTGACGATTTGTTTTCACATCTTATATGACATCCGATATCATCCACCGATATATGGCTCGCAATAGGCTGTCAAACACTTGTGAAACAAAAACTTTTCGCAAATGATGTCTAAGTTTTGTGGTCTAAAAACTTGTGTCAAACCGTGTAATCGATTTGAAAATCATTTTATTTCACTAAACGACTCAAACACTGACTGTTATTATAGCGTTTAAAATGTATTTATGTTTTCAATGATAGCTATGTTATCATTGAATGTATTTATACGCGGACTGGGAATGCGGTCTCCACTGCAATACAATTAGCTATGAATTTGACATATTTTCCGATAGATTTCGTGTGGATTTTCTCGCATTCATTCAATGCATCACTCATTTGCATAGAAATACTGTATTATAGTATTGTATTGAATGGCATTTTACGGAATATTCGCTGCTTTTTGTGCACATCAAATGATTCGCTTATTTTTAGTTGTTTTCAAGTTTTTTGTATAATTTTTGTCAATTATTTCTACTCATGGCTCGAGTTTTATAGGCATTTATGCGATTATTGCATTTCATTGCCATTCATGAAATAGTTGGCATAACTTAGTTATTACAACACTTCATAGACATATAGACACATAATATTATTGCTTATAAATTATAAATAACAGAATTTTATTCGATATAAACATACATTACAGTATAAATTAATAAATTTTTATAGATTTACATTAATTTAATTTAATTTAATTTTCTAATCTATTATGTTTGATTTTCAATTTATTTATTGTTAAGTTTTCGAGAATTTATTATTTTTAGCAACAAATTCAAAAATTATTTTTTAATTGAAACACATTTTTAAAATTTTCATAAAACTTTGAAAACAATATAAAAGCAAAGTCTCGATGAAAGTGAAACACAATTACATCGGGAATGACATCGAGTTCTTGGGAGACGACACTCACTGCACGGATAGGTATGAAATGAACACAAAATACTAACCAAACCCTAAGTATCGGTGAATTGGGTATAAGTCTGACTTCTCTAAGATATGGCACTCATAGGCCCGACCTATGGGTACGTAAAGACGTCCAGTTCCGGGACCTATACCTCCCTCTATAGGCTCTGTGGTCCCGGTCTTAGTCCTCGTCAGCGGCCGAACCGATACGGCGGCGATACTATTGCCCCCATTCTTAGGGAACCGATACTATTGCCCCCATTCTTAGGGAACCGATACTATTGCCCCCACTCTTAGGGAACCGATACTATTGNTGATGGGAATCTTGTAGTCGAAGGTTTTTCCGTGCAATTGGATGAACGTCGGGAAGATCTTAATCTCGTACCGACCTCTCGGTGTCAGACACTGGAGCTCCTTGAAGGTGGCGATCGCGTCACCGGTGGCCTGAATGATGGACGCCTTGTCGAGCACCTGCTCCATGAAATTCGGCGCCGGATCCACGCCATCGATGGTCGGGATATGGAAACGCATTTCCATGAGACTGTTGGGCGCGTCGTCGTTGTGGTGGAACTCGAGGGTCACCTCATTCTTGGCGGTCGTGCAGTGACTCACGTTAAGCAGCGGTACTTCGAAGGCTCGCTCAGACTTCTTCACGTCGAAGCCGAGGACCGCGCCGTCGAAGGCAGCCGTTCCCCAGTTCCAGCCGCGGAGGCAGTTGTCTCGAGACTTCAGCTCCAGGGAGTAGTTTCTGGCGAAGAATTTCTCCAATTTGTCGAAATCCGAGTCATTAAAGCCCGCGAATCGCGACATCTGTCCGGATCTGCTCATCACTCGCAGAGCGTAGTCGCCGGCCATCCGGTGCCAGAGGATCGAGTCGATGTCAGAGCCGGACATTGTCTCCACTTTTCCCGTCTTCGACGACTTGAAGATCACTTGACTGTTGGTGAGCTTCAGTCGCCCGAACACCTAATCCGAGGATTAAAAGGCATTGATTTTAGCGGACAATTCATGGCAGAGATTGCCGGCGATCACCACATGGTGTCCAAACACTTACCATACACCCCCTCTCCTCTTTGGAGGCGTCGCTGTACTCGAGGTAATCAGTCATTGTGTCCGCGATTTGTCACTCAATATGTCTTTGATTTGATCCGCAATTTAAAGACAAAACACAATCCGATTGTCGTTTATTTGACGACAAGTGTCGACACAAACAACCAGTGATTACGACAAACACAGTGACACTGACTGCCCATTGAATGCAACGCAAAGTGGGTCTCAATTGCCGGACGTTATTCATTGTAGGCTTTCATTGAAACGCATTGTTTTGCGCCAAAAGCCCATTGAATGGCAATAGATATGTGTTGTCCGTAACGGGTGTCCACTGTATGTATGTATGTATGCGCTATTGTATGCGATATTTCAGTTCATTGAGTAATGCAGTAGTCGTAGGAAAAGTTTGCGTAACTTTGACCGGAAAATAGTATTAATTTAATTGGGAAATGGATGGCAACGGTATTATAGGCTCCAAGTATTGGCAAACAATTAGCGTTTAGCATACAATCCTATACTTATTGACGACACATTGAAGTATTAAACAAATGACAAACTTTAAGCACTCATTAAACTGAATTGAATTGGAAAAAGATTTATTTCAAATCGTTTGATTGAATCAAAAACAAAGCTTTACATCATTTGTCCATTAATTACAATACTTTATAAACAGTTTCATTTGTCTGTGGTTTTGATATTAAGTTATATATAAATATAAGATTTATTTTATATAATAGTAATAAATTGAACGCAAATTGCAATTAAAATCTAAAATACTTGTCGTGAGTCTTCGTGCGTGGAATCAATTGCGAGACAATTATCTGAAGCCCTGATGACTATACGGATAGCTGATGGGCTGCTGGGGTGGCATCGACTGTGGCATCATTTGTGGCGCGTATATGGGATACGGAGGCATAGCTTGAGCCCCGGCGGCGCCTCCCGAGGCGAATGGCAGTGAGGTGGGCGGGGGTGGGGCCGGCCTTAACTGGTTGTATAGGTTGGGCTGCGAGCCCATCGTCTGCGGCATATGATTAGTCCGATTGGAGGCCTCATTGCGGACACAATCCATCATTTTATCGGTTTTTATTCGTCGCAAATGAGATAACTTTCGTTTGTCGATAAAGTCTTTGATGAACGCGTCTATGGAGTCGAGCGAACCGCCGAGGAATGCGGTGGCGATGTCTTCGGACTGCTCCTCGACCTGAGCGGTGGCCGTCTGCATGAGCGCCAGTCTCGTGTCCAGCGATGTCTGTCGCGATACTTCAGACAAACGCGACTTCTTTTTGTCGATCTCCTCCTTCAGTGTCTTGAGTTCGTTGTGGCCGTCGATCAGCTGTTGTCTCGTCTGACGATAAGTGGGTTCTCGCGAGAGATTCTGTTCCGCAG